ATCTGCATCCCAAGAAGTATAATTCGGTAAAAGAAGTTCTTTGGGAAAGAGTTAAGCAAAAAACAGCCAACTCAACATGATCGTGTTGAGTTAGCTGTGTTTTTGCATAACTTTCATGCTGTCTGAAGACGAACTGGGGAACCAGAGTCGAAAATTCACACATTAAAGTACTCTTTCCCAAAGAAATTCTTTTACCGAGTAATATAAGTTTTACTGAATTCCGTAACCACATGACCAGCAATATACGGTCAACAAAAACCAAATAATAATCATCACAAAATTGCACTTAAATTCGGGAAAGTCACCTTAAATCATCTCAGACCAAAGCGGGTTCAGTACACGGATTCAAGCCCTTCGTTGTTATTTGTTTCTGAATTTTCGAAAAGCTCCTAACTCTATTTCATACTGCTGTGGATCGTATTTTAAGTTTTTTTACAGAAGAGAGAAAAAACCAACAGAAGGGCTATTTCATAGTTGCGTCAAAAACACCTCCACTGCAAGTCTTGAGAGTTACGTCCGCTGCAGTAACATGTTGGCATAATTAGGTAATTACTACGTTATTTTTCGAAGGGCGACGCAGCCCCTTTGGCATCTTATCTAATTCATTTCTTTATGGAAACATTATATACCTGTTGGATATAAACGAGAGAGGGCGGCTTTCAGTTTTACACGCTAGAGAATATAAAACACAGCATATTTGGGACAGTTGAATCCACTTCAGTCCACAATGACTACGTCGTAAAAGGGCATGCATCCTCGCATAGTCTCGTAATCGCGGAAGCTAGCTTACTCAGGCGCAAACAACATGATTTCGCTTCACTTACAAGGGAGCAGTGCTCATCGCGTCATTGTCAGGGCACGGAGGCCTTGCTCGATTCTGATTGGCTGGCATCAGCCACGCGAGTCAATTCTGATTGGTGCTCGTCAGATGGCTTGGGCGTGAGAGAACCCCTCGATATTCCCCGAGGCTTAATACCGTTTTCAGACAGATACTTGCTCGAACAGGTCGTGTGCACTCGTACAGGGAAAAGTATGAACTCCTTCGAAAGCACAGCCTCCAATCCAAATTGTGAAAATCTACCGCGGATCAGACCTGCTCGAAAAACCCTCAGTGGGCCTGTACGACACCTTTTCAAGAGGCTAAGTGGAGTGCCAGCCGAAAGCAGTCCACCGAAGATTTCAAAGCTCGACCTCTCCGAGACTGCCCCGCCTAAGCGTCCCTCCTTCAGTAAATGGAGGCGGCGACGATCTGTCTTTCGCGAGAGACCCCTACCGGTGGAAGTTGATACGCTAGCCAAAACTGGCCTCCAGGGAACTGACCCGGCTGCAGCTATCGATGCGACTGCCACAAACAAGCATCTACTTGGCCTGAATCAAACCGACTTCCCTGTCTGTCATGTCCCCGCGGTACCCAGCGGCGAAACTACCACTACTACTACTACTACCACCACCCCCGTCACTGAAAATGTTCCCCCCAAAAAGATGTCTCATCAGAGTTTGCAGATTACCTTCAGAAACAAGATTAGAATGAATGCG